GCAGCAGAGGCCCAGACTTGCTGAGAGTGTAGCATGCATGTGTGAGCACCACCTGGTGCACAAGCAGCCTGTTTATCCAAGATCCACCTCCCTGCACACGGTAAGTGCTCGGCAACTGTTTGTTGAGTGAATACATGACTAAGTGGCAGGCCCAGGTGCGGAGCGCATCCCATGCAGCCTCTCGCCGCACTCTGCACGACCTGTGAGGGAGGCACCGCCAGCCCCCACCCCCCACGAAGCTCAGAGGTGACGCAACTTCCCCAGCTCACGCAGCTGGTAAGTGGCAAAGGCTATTTGAACACTGACCTGCTGACTCCAAGCTCTTAAGCATTGCTCTCTGTGGCCTCCAACCACCCAACGTGCTGATCCCAAAAAGAGCACAGGGCCCAGCTGCTACGTCGTACACATGCAGGACATGAACACAGACAGGGGCACAGGTCCCCCCGGCGCACTGCTGGCTCACGTGGCAGTCTCTTATTTACAAACACAGAGCGCCTACTCTGTGCTCAGTGCTAGTCCAAGTGCTTTGTCCTCAAACCTCACAGCAACCCTACAAGGTAGCGATGATTATTGTACGATTATCATATTAAACTGATAAATGAGAAAACCAAGGCACATAAAGGTTATGTGACTCATCCAAGGTCACAGGGCTAGTGCGTGGAAAAGCCAGGATTTAAACCTGCACAGCCATGCTCCCCCCAGACCTCAGGACCCAGGAGCTCTGGGCCCCTGCCACCCTCAGCCCTGGGGAGAGGGCTGGGCAACCCTGCTCAAAGCCCAACTCACAGAGGAGGAAACAGGCCCAGCAATAAAAGGCAGCTTACTTTTTGTCACACACTGTGTGAGTGCAATCTGTCAACCCTGAGCATCTGTGTCAGCTCTGGGGACACCCTCCCCCTGCCCACAGCCCTGCCTCTCTCCCAACATCTCCCACCCAGGGAGACATTGATCCAGGACACTGAGGAGGAGTGATTGTCTGGTGACAGCATGGTCAGGAGGAAACAAGATGTGAGACGCAAGCATCACTTTTTAGAAAAGAAAGCCGCAGAGCCCTGACCAGTGTGGGTCGGTGGGCTGGGCGTCATTCCACAAAGATAAGGGTTGCCGGTTCAATTCCCAGGCAGGGCACATGCCTCGATTTCAGGTTCGGTCCCCAGTTGGGGCGTGGAAGAGAGGCAACTGATCAATGTTTCTCTCTCACATCAGTGTCTCTCCCCTTCTCCTTTCCCTCCTCTTTCTCTAAAAAATAAATAAATAAGTAAAATCCTTTTAAAAATGTGAATTAAAAAAAAAAAAATAGGGCCCCGGCTGGTGTGGCTCAGTGGACTGAGCCCTGGATTGTGAACCAGAGGGTCGCTGGTTCGATTCCCAGTTTAGGGCACATGCCTGTGTTGTGAGCTAGGTCCCCAGTAGGGGGTGCTTGAGAGACAACGACACATTGATGTTTCTCTCCCTTTCTTCTCCTCTCTAAAAATAAATAAAATCTTTAAAAAAGAAAAAAAGGAACTCTACTTAAAAAAAAAGAAAGAAAGCTAGAGACTGAGTGAAAGCCAGAGAGACCCTGAGAGGAATGGACAAGGTGAAACCAGAGGCCAAAAGGAGACCACTCCACCAGCAATCTAGAACCAGGCAGTGCAGAAATGGATTTTCTCTTGAGCTCTCCCATAAATGCACTTCAAAGGCACTGAAGGCAGGAGTCAGAGGTGAGAGGGAGAGAGGGAGATGCACTCAGCACTAATGCAGGGCAAGGCAGCCAGAGAGGAGGAGGGCGGGGACACACGGACGCTGGAAATCACCTGGCTAGAAGGGCAATCAGAAATTCCATTTGGGTTTTCAGCTGGAGGTAGAGAGAGGCCAGGAGTTGGGGGGGGGGGGGGGGGGTGACTGGGGAAGAGAAGGAAAGAGAGAGGACTCAGACAGAGAGAAGAGAGGACAGAGACAGGAGTCAGAAATAAAGATAAGGAGGTAAAGGACACGCAGAGCCAGAAGAGAGGAGAGAAAGGCAAAGTCAAATTACAAGACTCCAGGTGTCCCCCAGCACACTATTTGAAAGGCCACACATAGCTCTGGCTGGTGTGGCTCAGTAGGTTGGGTGCGGGCCTGCAAACGGGTGGCCAGTCACCTGGTTGGGGTAGAGTACGTGCCTGGGTTATGGACTGGGTCCCCAGTAGGGGGTGTGCAGGAGGCAGCCGATTGATATTTCTCTACCTCCCCCAAAAATAAATAAATAAAATCTTCCTTTTTAATTAAAGAAAAAAAGGCCACACATACACACACGAGCACTCTCACACATACTCACACACATACTCATGACTCAAAGACCTGGGTTCCAGAGTTGACTCTGTCTTGAAACGCTTTGTGACCTTGGAGAAGACCAGCCTCCCTCTGAGCCTCAGGTCCTCCGAGCATTGGTGAGGTTAAGCAGGTTCCAGGAGGGACAGAGCATGTGGGCAACAGGGTCAAGGAAAGCAAAACCTCACCGTGATGTTTCTTCTCCGTGGCAGGGGGCCCCAGCGGGGCAGGCACTGAGCGGGACCTCAGGAAGGGCCTTGGGCAGGCGGGGACCCAGTGCCTCCACTCCAGAGGAGGACACAGGCTCAAAGCAGCAAAGCAGCTCACTCAGCATAATGCAGCCAGGACAGGCACCCCGCTGTGAGGCCCCATGATGCACCCTCTGCTGGCAGAGCAGAAGGGAGCTGCCTTTCCTGAGTCGGTCCCATCAGGGGTCCAGGTCAGGTCTGGCACTTCTTAGGTGCCCATATGTGCGCACCTTGGTCTTCAGTAATATCAGTAAAAACAGTGGCTCGGCACTGACTCATCCACTCCCTGTTCTAGGCACTTCACGGTAGTAATTTACTGGCTCCTCACACCCACCTTGTTAGGAAGCTAAGCCCCATTGAAGAAACTGAGGCACTGTCTGTTTCAGGACTGCCAAAGGTCACACAGCCCCCTGCAGCCTTCCCAGCAGTGAGTGTCCAGCTGCCGCCACTCGCACACCTTTCCAGGAGGCCTCCTCGCCCCCTGGGCAGCACAGCCTGCCCGCTCTGCCTCAGCTTCCCACGGGCCCCTCCCAGCCAGGCCCAGCAACGGTGTGTAGCCCGGTCTTGGAAGGCCACGGGGCAAGGGCAGCAGGAAGCCGGGGCCAGGCGGGGAAGAGTTAGCTGAGACCCAGAGGTGTCCCGACCCCACACTCCTACCTGGACACACCAACCGGGACCGCAGCACGACGCCTCTCGGAGTCCCACGGCGCGAGAAAGATGACCTGCGGCGCCACCTCGTGGTCAAAGAGGCCACATGGCCCCAGGCTCCCCTGTTCGCTGGGACTTTGGAATGCAAAGAATTCCTCCACCCCCGGGGGCCCTGTGCTGACCTTCCCAGGTCGGGAGGAGGAAGCAATTCCTTTGCAAGAGCCCCGCCCCTGGAGCGCGGCACACTCACACATCCGACGACCACCTGGACACATTTACCCGCTGCCCACAGACGTCCCAAACGCAACCTTCATCTAACTCGTGCACCTATGAAGCACTTAATACATGCCAAGCACTGTTCCAGGGGCTAGAGATACAAAGATGAGCAAAACAAAAGATCCCTGCCCTTGTGGAGCTGAAGGTGGGGCGTGGTGGGAAAACACAATAACCAACAAACAAGAGAAATAAAACACTCTGGCTACTTTGGAAGCACGGGGGAAAAAGAGTCTGTTCAACAAGTCACTGGGCCAGAGACACACACACGCACAGAGCCCTTAGGACAAACTCATGGAGTCCAACTTCATTTAGATCATCCTGCCCTTCTGGTTCCTCAAGGACCACTCCTGTCCCAGGGGATGTAACCTGGCCACGGAGTCCTCCTGCATGGGACTCTCCCCTTTCACGTAGCTCCTCTTCTCCTCTGGAGGTCTCCTGACACCCGGCTTGCTGGGCCCCACCCAGGGCACAAATGGTCAGGCCAAGCTGCCTTGATTCCCAGCTCCCATACCACCTGTGTGACATGGACATGTCCCTTGGCCTTTCTGTTTCCTCATCTGTTAAATGGGAAAAACAGTTTTTCCCACTTCAGAATCATGGGGGAGGGAGGGACAGAGTTAACACGTGTAAAAAAAGACACTTAGACCAGCATCTTGACATAGTTTTGTTATTATTAACGTCTGTTTAGATGTGTCCCTCCTGCCTAGTTGATGGAGGTTAGACAGGGAGTTCATCCAGGAAGGACCAGCTGAGTCATCGCTGTGTTCCCTGCTCTACAGTGACGGGTATACAGAAGGCCCTCAGAACGTGTTTGCTCAATGGATTCAGTGGTTCCTCTCTCACCGTTCATTCATCAAGTGCCTCCTTCATGCCAGGTAGTACTGAAAAGTGAAGACAGTTTCTTTCCACTGCAAGAAGAGTAATTTCTAGGCCAGAAGTTTTCAATTTTTTTGGTCTAAGAACCTCTTTACACTAAAAAAAAAAAATCTATTCCAAAGAGCTTTTGTATATGTAAATATCTATTGCTATTTGCCATATTGGAAACTAAAACTGAGAAAACTTTTGAATATTTATTATTTAAAATAACCTCATTGCATGTTAACATAACATATTTTTATGAAAATAGTTGTTTATTTCCAAAACAAAACAGCGTGAAAACATATTTTTTGCATTTTCTCAAATGTCTTCAATGCCTGGCTTAATGAAAGCTGACTTCTCATGCCGCACTCAATCTGTGCGATATGTTGCTTTGGTTGACGAATGTGAAGAAAAAGAGAAAAAAAACCCAGCTCAACATACTTTTTCGTAAAAATTGAGAACACGCGGCCCCTCCCCGGCTTCGCCTACTACGGAGCGTACAGAGCCGAGAGGTTTGATCAACTAAGGTTGGCTAGTCGTGAATGGTTTCCGGGAGAAGGCGTGGCCTGGAGCACAAAGGAGCAGTTGGGCTGGGATTGGACAACAAGTGCGTCCTTCTGCGCGTTGTCCCCGCCCCTCTTCCCTCAAGAGTAAGCCAGCTAACCCTAACGTCTGCGTCTTAAGGAAGGTGGTCACTTCCGCCCGCCCACTTCGGAACTTTACATTCCCGCTCGGGTTTCCGCTGAGACAACCAGAGTGCCAAGGCGGAAGTAGCGTGAGCGTGTAGGCGGGGCTAAGTGCAATAATGTCCGCGGCCTTGCTGCGGCGGGGCCTGGAGTTGCTGGGGTCCCCCGAGGGTGAGGAGAGCCTGCACAGAGGCTGCCGGCGCGGGCAGGGGGTGGCTGGGGCTGAGAGCGGGATCCCGGGGGGTGCGGAACGGTCCAGTCCGGGCTTATCCCCAGTGGGATGGGAACCCGGCGCTCTCTCCGACCCGGGTCCGTCCCTCTCTCTCTTCCCCGATAGACCCTCGAGCCGCTCCAGGCCAGGCCAAGCCGAACGGGACTCCGGTGAAGCGGGACCGGAAGGCGAAGGCGACCCAGGCCGGGAAACTCCGGAACTCGGCCAAGGGAAAAGTGCCCAAGTCAGCGCTCGGTAAGCTCGGAAGGGGCGGGACGTACTGCCCCCGGGGTCGGGGTCTGCGCCCTGAAGGAAGGAGCTCTTGAGGCAGGGCTTGAAACGTTCGTCAGGCATTTCTAGAATACCTACTGTGTGCCATGCACCGAGCAGAGTCCCGGGAGTACGGGCTGAAAGAAACACGTCGTCCCAGGCCTCGTGCTGCGCAGTCCTGGTGGGGAGAGAGGCATTAAAGAGCCTCAAAACTAAGTGTGATGAGGGCGTTGTGCTCTGAGAGGGAGTTCAGATAAAAGGCCAAATCCGACTTCTCCGAGGACGCGACATGTAAACCCAGATCTGAAGGGAGTGTAGAGTGCTCCAAGGAGAACAGTGTGCTAGAGAGAGTGGCATATGCAGAGTCAGAAAGGAGTTTGTTGCCTTTGAACATTTGAAAGAAAGAAGCCTGGCGACGGTGACTGGGGTCAGAGATGGAGCATTTAACGTGAATAGCCTGTGCCCAGCACTGTTTGAAACACTGTACAGATCTTCACTTGTTTTATGCCTCGGAGCGACCCTGTGAGGACGGTACAGATGGTACAACCAAGCATTGTCTGCAGAGCCCTGCTCTTACCTGTTCGTTCAGGGGGGGAGGTGCTGTGACCTGGGCAGTGGCCGGTGCAGAGATAAGAGAACTGTGCAGGTGGAAGATGGAGTGAGGAGGGGGCTTTAGTGGCGCGCTGGCTGCGAGGAGGGAGGGAGACGGAGACATGGAGGACTTAGCCCAGTTTCTAAAGGGCATCTTGAGCGATGCGGTGCCACTGAAGGAGATGCAGGCTTGGGGACCCGCGGGAGTGGGCAGGGTGGTGGGGGGATATGTGGCAGGAGCTGGTGAGCTCCTAGGGTGTCTTTGAATCCCCAGGGCCTGGTGCATAACAGGCGTTCAAGTGTTTGTTAAGAGAATTATGACTTCCAAGGAGGAAACAGCCCGAGCAAAAGTGTGGAGGCAGAGAAGTGAGACCCATCTGAGCAAGTGATGTTGGTGTGAAGAGCATAGGACACCTGAGGTCCCCCACCCAGCCCAGGCTTGTCCCATAATTGGTACATAATTGATGAGGGAGGAGACCCTCAAGCCTCAGTGGCCAATCTAAAGGACACCCCTGTGGCTGCGGCCACTGTGACCTACCTCACCTCTTGCCTGGATTACTGTGAGAGCCCCCCAGCTGGTCTCTCACCTTCCACCCCTGCACCCCCCAGGCTTGCTCTCAGCACAACAGGCAATGGGATCCTATAAAATCATGTCGGACCCTCCGCTTCTCTCCTCACGCCCTCCTGTGAAAGCCCAAGTTCTTACGGGTCCTGATGAGGCCGCACATGGTCTCCCCTTCTGCTGCTCTCCCCTCTCCTTCCTGCCATTTTCTGTTTTTCAAATGCATTAATCACACCTCTGCTTCAGGGCCTTTGCACAGGCTGTTCCCTCTGTCTAGAATGCTCTTCCCCCAGATACTACCCTCTCCCTTGAGTCTTTGCTCAAATGTCATTTCATTGAGGCTTTCTCCGACCCTCAGGTTTAGAGTTGCAACCCTCCGACCCTGGCATTCCTCATTCCCATTTACTATACAGTGTATCACCCTCTGAATGCTGTTTACTGCGTCTCTTGCTGCTGGCAGTGTAAGCTCTGTGAGAGCAGTTTTTGCCTGTCGGTTTCCTGCTATATGCTCAGCACCTAGGCCAGCGTCTGACACACAGTAAGCACTTACTGCGTGTTTGTTAAATTAAGTCACTGGAGCATCAGGGAGCCAAAGGGGGCTTTCAGCAAGATCTGTGTGGAGAGTCCAGGCTTCTGCAGTAATCGGGGGAAGGGACAACCGCCTTGGCAGGGCTGTGGAGGTTGGAGGTGGTGGTGCAGATAATGTCAAGAGGAGACCCAGAAGGCTTCCAGGGAGTGAATCTGAAATGATGCCGCCTTGCTTACCCTCCACAGCTGAGTTCCGGAAGCGAGAGTGTCAGAACCACCTTGGAGCGAACCTAAAGTTTATGACCAGTGCAAGAAGCACTGTGCCTGAGTCCGTCACCCAGCAGGTTTGTCAGAGATGGCTGTGAGAAGGAATATGGCAGGGAGAGAGCTGAGGATGTCGCTGGGGGTCCCCGAGGGTCTCAGGCCTGGACATAGACTGAAGGTTGGCCCACCCCCCAAGCCTCTACACTACTGTGCTGTGAGGGGTCTCCCCCTGCAGGGCTGAGAGCGGAGCAGGGGAGGTGGGGGGCTGGGTCAGGCCCTGCCCCCCAAGAGGCAGGTGTGCAGACCAGGTAAGGGGACAGAACCTGGCCAGCAGTGCCAGGTTGTGCAGCTCCCTCATGTCCTGACTTCCACACCCTCCAGATTTTACGCCAGAACCGGGGCCGCAAAGCCTGTGACCGACCTGTGACCAAAAAGAAGAAGAAGAAGGCTGAGGGCACTGTGTTCACTGAGGAAGATTTCCAGAAGTTCCAGCAGGAATACTTCGGCAGCTAGGCTCCTGGAGGGCACCGTGGGAGAGGCGCTGAGGCCCGGCCTCCTCCTCTGGCCTCGCCGCCGCATCTGGCCCTAGGACCCTGCCCCGCACAGCGCGGCCGGGGAACTCAAGGCAGGCCTGGAGCCACAGCCAGCGCAGGGAGCTGGGAGCCTGCGGAGGATTTAAACTCGAACAGGAGGTCCGCAGGCTTGGCAGGAGCTACCTACCTGCCAGAAGAGAACACTTCTTTTTGTTTGCTTTGCCCCAAGTAGGGCCTCTTGGCTGTTTGCTGTGGAGAGGCCAGTTCCTGGGCCCTGGGGGCCACACCTGGAGGAGGAGGAGGAGGAGGAGGAGGAGGAGGAGGAGGAGGGCTGCTGGGTAGCTTCCAGGTCCTAATAAATGTGGGCCCAAGAGCTGTGTGTGCTGCTGCTCGGCTCGTGGGGCGATTGCCATCTCCTGTGGCATGAAGGGGCCTTCCCCGCTTCCCCGTCTCCCAGTGTGGCTCTCAGAGCCCCGGCTCAGAAGTCCTCCAGTCCAGCCCCGGTGCAGGCGGCCACCCAGAGAGAGCTCACCCAGCACCTGCTGACACAGCCCAGAGGGGCGTCCCCCCACCCCTGGTGGCAGCCACAGCTGCCCAGGGCTTTGCTCCGTGGACCCTGACTCGGTGCTGCCAGCCCGTTGCCCAGGCCCTGTGCTCTTGGGAGGGGAAGGGGTATGTGCCAAAGGTCACTTTTTTGTTTTAACTCTCATGTGAGTTGGAGGAGTGGTGGGGTGACTCAGGAGGTGACTTGCAGAAACAGGGTTTCACACTCAGGTCTGTGGACAGACAGGTAGGCAGTGAGTGCGGGGGGGCGGGGCTGAACCCCTTGCACCCAGCACGAGTGCACGGGTGTTCAAGTGTGGAGGAGACAAGTCCTGGAAGCTGGGGCCCCTTGGAGAGGTTGGGGGCCTCCTGGAGAAGAGCCCCACCCCCCCCAAAGGGCTCCATAGTCCACGGCGTTGTTTGATAGAGGACTTCTGAAGGGTCCCCTGTGGCTGGAGCAGCTGCAGGGGCGGGGGGCGCCCGCCAGCACCACAGTGGGTTCTGGTGTGCCCCAGGGTCCGCTGTCCGGTCGCTGTTCCTGGTTACCGACGCTCTCCATCCTGAGCAAGCACAGCAGTGGCCACAGAACTGCCTGAGGCAGAGTGGGACCTGTCCTGCCTGCAGGTGGCCTCCATCTGAGCAGCAGGACGCAGACCATCTGGGGGGCCAGGGCCACAGGAGAGGAGGGCGCTGGGTCCACGCTGGCGTTGACCCACCTTCCTCAGAGGCGCTTGCTCCAAAAAAGGGAGTGGCTGGTGTTCTGCCTCAAACTCACACTCCTCTGTTCAGCTGAGCTTTGATGTGCCTGGTGCGGGGAGAGCTGGGAACCTGGATATCCTTGGAGACTTACTGTTTTAAGCAGCTTAGCAAGAAGCTGGCTCAGCTCTTGGCACCAGGACTTTGCTCCTGGGAAGAACAGGCTGACCAGTCACTGAGCTCCAGGGTCCCTTTCTAACAAGGACACCTGCTGTTACCTAATCACCACAGGGTCCTGATCCCTCCCAGGTGTAGAGTGACAGATGCCTCCTGGGGAGGACCGGAGGGCGCAGTAGCGGGGTGCCGGGTCCATGTGTGACTGACATTAGCAGTGCCCACCACTGAGGTTATAGTCCAATAGGTCAGGGGTCTGTATTTTAACAAGTCTGGTGCAGATGGTTAGAAGGTGGTGGGGTCCAGGGGGGCTGGTTCAGGCTCTGGAGAAGGGCAGATGTGAGAGTCACCACGTGGGAGGCAGGGAAGGGGGGGTGACTGGCCATGAGTCCCAGGACCTGGTGACAGGAGATCTGGGAGAGGGAGGGACAGGGCCCAAATGAGAGGACACAGTTTACACATTCAGTCCAGGCCCTCTCCGGTGGTGTGGGACAGCCGGCAGACGGGGTGGGTTTCTTGAGCCATCCACGCTCCCTGGTCCTGTAACTGGAAGGATTATGCGCCCAGGCCCCACGTGGTGCCTGGCGCTTCCTGTCTCCAGCCAGATACCCACCCCCCATCTCCGGACTCACACCCTCGGCCTCACTGCCATCCCCACATGCAATCCTGAGACATCAAACGACCCGGCCAAGACTGAGCCACCCTCTGCCAGCACCAAAGAGCTGAAATAAATCCCCAGCTTCTCAGAAAACGGAAACCATCCCCCGACTTGCTCAGGCATCGTCTTCTCATCTTCATCTCCTCTCAAACCCCCATCCCAGGCTTGACTCGCTTGACCTTCAGAATATATCCGGGCCCCAACCAGCTCTCCTCACCTCTGCGACCTGAGCTGACCCCAGCCGAGTCCTCTTCCTGGACAACTGTGGAGGCCTGTACCCGCCCACCAACCATTCACAGGCTCAGAGGGACCGTCTTCAAATACAAACCCTGTTCTGGGGGCTCCCACAATCATGCAGGGAAGACACGTCCCCGTCAGGGCTTCGAGGCCCCTCCCCCGCGCCCATTCCCGCTCTTGCTTCCTGCTGACTTTGCCTCCCCCCCCACCCCCCCAGGGCCTCCGAGTACCCACCACAGACAGCATCTTCACAGACAGAAAGGCCGCTGTGAATGGAGCACAATGGAACCAAGAGGAGGAAGGCAGGGAGGGGGGCAAAGGCCTAGTGTGGGCTGTGGGCTTAGCTTACAGGCTCTGCTGAAACCTTTGCTGATGTCCCCTCACTGCCTTTTGGGTCTAGGAAGGCCTTAGGTGCAGGAGCCCGGGAGGAGCAGCCTACCATCCCAGCTTCGGGGCCCCAGCCCGCGCTGCCCTCACGGTACCCCAGAAATGGTACCAACGGCTGCTGTGGCCTTCACCAAGGCAGCTGGGTCACTTGCAGGGCTGCTGTCTCAACTGTCCTCTGGCTCCCACCCCACATGCTCCAGGCTGGGGCAGCTGCCCCATTGGGTCAAAGCAGAGGACACCACTGGGGTTGGACAGGGAAGCAGCGTTTGTAGATTTCCATTTCCTATTTTGGAAAAAACCTGTTACCAAACTGAAGTGAGGCAGAGCAGGAACTGGAGACAGCCGTGCCCATGAGCCCATGAGGGGCCTTTGGCAGTGGACTTTAAGACTCCCCTTTCTGCCCCTTACCCAAACCATCAGTCACGATCCACACGGAGAATCTATGCTATTTTGAGAAAGTGTCCACATTTGTATTGATCTAACACCACTTCAGCACCCACGTGTACTTTCTCAGAACTTTCAGACCAAGTGTCCAGGGCCCCCTCCACCCCTGCCTGTAAGGAATTCTGAAGCCAGATTGTGTGCATCCCAGTCAGACTGCCTGGGCCTGGACCTACCACCTGCTAGCTGGGCAAAAATACTCAACTTCCAAGCCTCCGCTTCATCAGTAAAATGGGGAGATGAGCTTTATAAAAAACAATTAGAACTGTTTTTAGTATCATGCATGTAGCTGACACTTAGCCAATAAATCCCTGTGAATTTAGTTGGTAGCAGTTGGGCTGCCTAAACAGGGGTATCCTGGTAAGCTGAACTTTTATACCTGGATGTATGCCTCCCCCGACTTGAGCGAGGCCCATGGTCTTGTGGACAATTCTCTTGAACAGGCAGGACCTCAAAGATCACAAAGTGCAAGACCCAGGCATGACGCACCCTACCCCGTATTTCAGGTTGTTCCCCTGTGAACCACCAGCTCCACCCCTTCCAAGCCAGCTGGCTCTATAATAGGTATTGGGAGGGCGTCAGGGAAACATGGGTCCTATCTTGCAGCCCAACAGTTTTCAAACTCAAGCAGCATAGCAGCAGCCAGACTCTGAAGGAACACCCCTGGGGTTCAAATAGTAGCCTACCACTCAGCTACAATCCCCTCCCATGGGTGCTCACTTCCTCTAAGAGCAGAGGGGCAGTCACTCCGCCTGGTCACAGGGCCTGGACGAGGACCAAGGGCTTGGGTCAACGCCTGGCATCATATGAGCAACACCCACATCTTGTGCATGCTTCAGGGCACCCACACTGACCTTTGCAGATAGGAAACTGGTCTGTCCCCAAGAACTGGTCCCAAAGGACATGACATCTCACCAGGATGGGCTGGGCCCAAATGTCTGCCTTATCCTACACTATACAGTCACCCAGTCGGAAGAGCAAGGGCTGCAACGAGCCAGCACAAGTGGCTTGCCGTTTTTGTTCCTTCCCGACATCTCTAGGGATGGCAGTCTCCTGGCTGACGTGGAGACCCTGGCTTTCTGGCACAGCTCTAGCGAGCGAAGTTTCCAAGATTTCCACCCTCCAGCTCCTCAGGTTTCTTTCAGCAGAAACCAAAGAGCTGTTCATCTCTGAACGACCAGTTCTTCTGGGGCAAGGCCTCCAGAGTAAAGGCTTACAAGTAAAATCTAATCACCAGTGTACCCAGCTCAAGGACTATGGGGCCCTACTTGGGTAATTAAACAGATACTGAGAGAAGACTGAGGAACACATGGAACCTGGGCCATTCCTCTCAGCCACCTGGTTCCCTCAGGCTCAAACCCCTGGACTGCACCTCACTAAGGGTTAACCTAAGGTCTAACCAACAATACTGATGTGGGAAAACCACCCAGGCACCTGCTGTGGGGGCTCTAGCCCAGCCCTTCTGGCAAAGGTACAACGGAAGTCACCAGTGATCCTGACCTATGGCACATCTCACTCTGGGATGAATCTGAATGTTGAACTAACCCTCTAGTTAAGTATCTAGTTCCTAGTGTTATTTACTAGAGGAAAGACCAGTCACAGCCAGCAGTCTGCACAGTACTTTCACTACAAAATAATTTATTACAACACACAGCTCCAGCACAAGCTTCCTATGTACAAGCACACAGACTACCCTAACTAGGGGGCCCTTTTCTTTCCCCTTGCCTTGCGGACCTCTTCTATCAAATCTTTCAGATACTGGATCTCCTTGGCCAAGGAATCTGCTTTCTCCTTCAGAGCCTCGTTTTTCTTTTCTAGCTCTTTACACTCACCTGTGAGGGCCTCCTGCTCTGCCCTCTTCTTTTGGCGGTACCTAGTGGCTGCCGTCTTGTTCTGCTCCATTTTTTTCAGCTTTTTATCTAGTTTCTCACCCTTCACTTTTGCTGCCACCACCTTCTCTCCAGGAGGGTCATAGGGCTTGGGGCGAGCAGAGCCACCCAAGGTATCTGAAGACACCAAGCTATTTGAAGCAGCCCTGGAGGCAGAGGGGCTACGCTGCGGAGAGCCCTGAAGGGACTCTGGGCTCATACATATGCCACTGTCATTGTCTGAGGTGGCTTCCTCCTCCTTTATGCACTGAGGGATTATGATAATATAAGCAGTGGAGTCTGATTTTCTATCTCCTTCAGAGATATCAACCTCACTGCCTAGCTCTAAACTAAGGGAATGATCCAGGGTGGAAGACAGGGCCACTGGGGAAAGGGGACGAGGTTGCAGTAAGGTCAAGGGGGCAACCTGGTCAGTTTTTGGTAAACTTTCTGGAAGATGGCCAATTGGGTTCACTGTCTGGGGGGGCTCCTTATTAATCTCCTGGTTTAGGGGGTCAAAGAGATCACACGAGTCTTCCAACGTGGCCAAAAGCTCATCCGGCATGATTTCCAGGTCATCTAAACTGAACAGGGCATCAAAATCAAACTCGTTGAGATCCATTTTCTCCACCATCCAATCTGTCCCGGAGAAGGCATCCTCTGCAAAAGATTTAAAAGGAATGAAATAAATTCAACCAGAAACACAAGGCAACAAGTTCTTACGGCCAGATCCCACCAGCAAGGTCAGGACAGGCACTCACCCTTGCCGCTGTCTGAGGCACTGACCAACCCATCCACAGCCAGCCATTCGGAGGAGCCCGCCTTAGCCTTGTCGCTGGAGAACCCATGAGGTTTCAAGTGCTTGGCCACCTCCAGGTAGTCGTCTAAGAGACCTAGGCTTTCTTCAGCCCCCAAGCCCGACTGGGCGAAGGGGGACATCAAGTCCCCCACCAACACCTCGCTGCTCAGGAAACTCATCTCGGTCATATTGTGGTGCTTTGCTGGAATCGAGGAATGTGCTTAATTCGAAGGTGTCTTTGTCGGTTACAGCAATGCTGCTGCTGGATGCCGTGAAAAGCCTGAATAGGAATCAAAAACCAAGTCCCATTAACGATCAGTTCGTCTGTAAACTTCATCTTTCTACTCCTGAGGCAGGATAGGCACAATCTAATTCCCTGTAAAGAATCGGGAACACGTGGCCCCAGTGCCATTGTGTCGACCTTCCTTGTTCCCTGGTCAGGCGGCACAAGATGGACGCTCTCCGAGTTCGGCCATTCCTCAGCCGGCTACGAGAGGAAGGCGCCGCTTCCTTACGCCCAAATACGACCGCGGCCGGGCTGCCTCGTCCCCGCCCCCTGTGACTCACACCGCGCCGGCCGCCGCCCTGCCGCCATCTTTGGTCTTGCCACGTTTCGCGGGGAGCCAGGCAAGACTCCAGCGCGCTCGGGGTGGGGCGAACAGCAGGCCACCGAAGGCTTTTCCCCCCAGGGCCAGACCGTGCTCTCCCAAATGAGACCTAGCGTCTCGGAAAACACCCAAACAGCGGCCACGCGTGCCCGAGCGCTCGTAAAACCGCTTCCCCCTCCGCGACACCGCCGGGCCGCAGGCCGCGTCTGATCAGGTCGCAAGCCCTCGCCGACCTAGGGGCGCACGGCCACACCGTTCCCACACCGTACTTACGCCATGGCTTAAGCCGCTGGGGGGGTGCCGCCGCAGAGCCTGGTGCTGCTGCTGCCGCTGCAAAGGCCAATGCTGCCGCAGGCACTGCTGCCTCTAGTGCGCCATGGCGGCCGCCGACTTGCGGGAGTGGAGGAGGGAAAGGACACACTCGCACACTCTACATCTAAACACGGAAGGAAGGGAAATGGCCGAAGGAGGCTCACCGTGGGTCCTTTATAGATTTTTCCCTTACGGGACGCATCACAGAGAAAAGCCTTCCGCTGCGGCCACGTGATCCTCACCACCCGCCTACTTGTTTTCATTTGTCGACGCCCTACCATTTCCAACCAATGACTTTTTCGTTCCGGGCGTAGCTCTGTAAAGACAATGAGTTATTTTTCAAGGCCTCCAAAAAGGAAAGACGCACTATTTTACAAGGCTTCTAAGATCAAAGAGTCCCTCTTTCCTCTGCCGCTAGAGAGCGCGGAGGGATCCCGCAGACACGCCTCGTTTCCGGTGTTTGCCGAAGGGCGGGGAGCGGTGCCTTCCATCCCAAGAAAGATTTCCATTGTGAAGTCCGAGGCCGTCCTATTATCGCGCGAGATGCCAGTGGAGAGCGCGCATCGAGCTGATTGGTCAGGCAAGGTGAGTCATGTATATCTCTAGTTTTTATTGGCTCGGACCCCGAGGTGGGTGTTCGGTGGTGTGGTCCAGGGTGCGCGACGGAAGGGCAGGGCTGCCGGTGTTTCCAGCTGAGTCTTCTGTCGCCATCTGTTCCTTTTGGTGGGTCCCGTCTGCACGGGCTTCCGCATTCCGATCTGTAGCTGGCCTTGATCGGTTCTAACCCAGTGAGTCCCAAACAGTGGCGTCAGACCCCAGTCCCTGCGGTCGTTAGTTGCCCGCTCTTAGTGTAGCTACTACTAGGGACCAGGTTGCAGCTGGAAGATAAAAGTAGGCGAAAGGAGATGTCGTTTCGTGTTCGATTTCACCACATGGAAGCCCTTCAGTAGCTTAAAGGGGAGACAGAACCTCAGGCGGAAGATCACTTGACCCATATGTACAATCAAAATATATTTGCTAGTCTATTAAAATATGTAGTCTGTCACAGGGGAACTGCTTCTGGTTTATGTAAATTCAATGTCTCTAAGAACAAGAAGAGATGTTATTCAACTGGGACCTTTCATTTTAGGGTAATTTCAACTACCTACCAGTTCTGTAACTGCCAGACACCCACTTCCTAGCAAGTCCTCCTAATGGCCCTGGAAGGAAAAGAACCCAGGCTCACTGGCCGGGGTTCCTGTGTTTGGAAGTAGCTGTGCTGGTTGGGACCAGCAACTTGCACTCTACTGGGGAGCTGTTAATGCTGAGAGCCCTGGCAGGGTAGCTCAGTTGATTAGAGTATCCTCCCAACACTAAAGGCCGCAGATTCCATCTCCAGTCAGAACACTTACAAGCAACCAGTGAGTGCATACATAAGTGGAACAACAAATCGTTGTTTCTCTCTCCCTTCTCTCTAAAATCAGTTGTTTTTTTTAAAGTGCTGAGAAAGCTGCCTGCCATCCTCCAATCCCCTCCACAGTCAGGCCCTGTAAGGACAGAAACCTTGAGTTTCAGCCTCCATTCATTTCAGTGGGTCACGCAAACAACATTCCTGTGAGGGCTGTGCTGTCAAAACATTTGAGAGGCACTATCCCAGGTAACTGCTGACCATTCATTGACTTCATTCATCTAGTTTGATTTCTTTACAATGGTAAACAGGTCTGACAGGATGTGGTGTGTTGCTAAATCACATAGCTCCCAGTGAAGACAGTATGGGATAGGGATTAAAGGATAGATTTTAGGGGCAAACCCAAAAGAATCGTGGCTCTTCCATTTGTTAGCTGAAAAGTTTTGGTTACGTGACTTATTCTTGCTGAGCCTCAGTTTACTCATCTGTAAACTGAGGCTATTGATGGGTAGTATCCTTATCCTTAGAATGAAGTAAAATCATTGACTTGTCAAGCACTAAGCAAAGTGCCTGGTACCTGGTGAGTGCTCAATAAATGACTATTATTAGAATTCAGGTCTTCTGACCCTGGCCCCCCAATACCCACTTCCTCATCTCCATTACATCATCCTGCTTCCTCGGAGGATGTTGTTATTTACTGAGATTGAACCAACAACTATGAACAACAGGTATAGGCAAAGCACACTGGACGGTGGGATGTGTGGTGTTTCTTTTCCCCTGAGGAATCACAAGCATAGGGATAAGCAGAAGTTGTCATCTTTCGGTGCAAAGGTGCTAAGAATCCCTGAGCCACTACTCAGTCTTCCAAAGGCATAACGAAGGCCCCGTGGGGTGTGTCCTCTTTTTGCTCTATCGAGAGACTTGTCAGTGCCCCCTGAGGAATGACCATGCAGATGGTTGAGAATTAAAGAAAGTAACACTGCCCCAGTTTTGACACTGCAGAGGTCATGGAAGAATGACTTCAGTGACAGACCCAGATCAAGCACTTCCATGTTCTCGCTGAAATGAAGAATCAGTACCATTCCTGTGGGAAAGTGTTTCATACCACACACGCAAGTCGAAGCTGTTGGAAAGGAGACCTTTATTCTTCCCATGCTGTGGGTGGACATCATGGCCCCCAGCTTTGTTTCCTCCCTCAAGGAGAAAAAGGACAGCAGTTCTCTGGGTCTCGGGGCTAGGCTGCTTCTGCATGGAGCTAAGCAAGACAGGACAGAAAGATTGGAGACTGATTCCAAATCTATCAGCCAAACATCAACCGCTACTAAAGAGCAGGCAAGTCACTGGAAGACAAGTTGTAGACTTGGTATCGGACCAAGAATTTAAAGACTACAAGATGATCAACATGAAAAGGTAAACACACTGTATACAGGGAGCTCCAGAACCCGTGTCTCTGGAACTTTGGCCATTCAGGGTCAGCAGTGTCTAAAAGGGTGACACAACTCTAGTCCTAAGTGTCTCTTTGGCCTTGAGCTTCAGCAGGAAGGGCAGAGCCCTAATAGATCCTGTGACAGTAGACGTTCTCAGCCAGGGTCCTAGTCTCAAGGAAGATGTGCCACAGCAGAAGGCTCAGGACACACACAGGGATTACTACTTATAGAAGCCCCTCGGGGCCTCTCCAGGGCCTTTGCTTCCTGGGGCTGGTTCTTCATCAAAACCATTTGCGCCCTCAACTTCCGTGGAGTACAAGGGAGCAAATGCAGCTCATTTGCAGCATCAACCAGTGGACCACCAGGGGCGAGACCCAGGAAGAAAGACTTGTAGGCCTCAACACAGCTTTTCCAAACATGAGCTTCAATTATTTATTTGGGGAAAAAAGTCACAACCAAGTATATAAAAAAAAAAAAATACTGTTGTCCTAAACTCATTTTTTTAAGGAAGGGGTAACAGGGAAAACATATACACTTTGGAATTGATCAGAATGTCAAGATGGAATATATTTTTTAAGCATTAGGCTAACTGTGTGGTTTGCTAACCTAGATGGTATACAAAAAACTTCAGATGGAGAAGTAGAGCTATGACTTCAGGAAAGGCTGGAGTCACCAAGCAGAAACAGAATGGCGGGAGAGGCACCACATCTTTCCCCAGAGAGTAAAGGTGGAGGCGACAGAACGTTCCACTTCAACCCAAGAATCTCAAAGTACATGACTGTCTTCCAAGTTTTATGGTGAGGCTTGCTGAGCTGGTCAGCAAAACCACGAGGACTGGGAATTCCCACTGCTTCTAGTTCTGATGACTTCTAGAAGGTTCTTGCTTGTGAAATGGCAAACTTACAGTTTTTGGTTTTGTAAAACATAGTTAAAAGGCAGAGATGCCCTTAGAAAGAAGTTCTGTAAGAGAGGAGATAAACTCAAATCACAATTACTCTTTGATAATTTGGGACTTGATCTTTAAAATCGTTTTTGAGCTTGGGGAAATTGTAGGTTTTATACTGCGTTGTGAAAACCAAATCCTTTTTCTCAATGAGTAACCCATGCTTTAGCAACACTGTCTCAGTCCACCCCTCTCCTGGATGCCATGGCAGACCCCACCTGTCACCCTCTACATCACTTGCCCAGGGCAGCAGCACTTGGGCATATAGATTTCCTAAAACTCCAATTTGATTCTGATGAACAGCCAGGCTGGATTCTCTCTCCAGGCTCTGGGCTTTACACTTTTCATTCTCTCCCAGTAGCTTCATATAAATGAAACAACTGAACCACTTTACAGAATCCATGCATACATGTATGAAGCAGGAAGATTCTCCAAATACAGCCAAGGTTAACACTAGCTCTCAACTCCCTAATCTGTGACAAAAAGGGAACAGGTATCTCTACCCTAAATTCAAAGGATAGCTGAGGCTTCAATGCTATTTATAGAGCCACTTCATATTGCTGTCACTGGGAAGGAATGAGACAGCTGCGGAGAGCCTCACCAGAATCTCACTGATTGGAGAGGTAGTTAAGTATAGAAATAAAAAATAATACCACTTGATGGGAGTTGAACAAAATACTGGACGGGCAGATCAGAAACAGAATTATCAGGCTCTTGCCACAAACAGGAAAAAAAAAAACACAAAACAATAAGATACACTGGTATTGTGTATTAAACACTCCTCCCCACCCTCGGGATACTTTTTACATTGCAATAAATAGTGCAATTTTAGCAGCTGGAAACAAGGAGCGTAGGAAGTCCCCACCTCCCTCTCATGTGTGTTTTATCCATGTGCACTCTTCTTAGGTAGCACCGATCTCCCCAGGTGCTGGGCGAGAGACAGGACTGGGGGTGGGGGTAGAGGTCTGAGCATGTTTGCTTGCCCTTTGGGTCTGGAGGTGCCTGGAGAGTTCAGCAAATAGCCCTCTCGCATACCTACAGCAGACTGCCGGGCCTGTTCTTGCTCTTGCTCTAAGGCAACATCCTAGAAAGGCAGGGCCTGATGAGGGAGAAACATGGTCACTGAGTTCCAACTGATGACTGGATCTTCCAGCTGATGTTCTGCCGCCTGTCAAGCTCCCTTCAACATCTACAGCTAAGGCTGTGTTCCAGAAGGCCTCGTCATCCTGACTGGCAACCGGGCAAGGAGGGGGCTGAACAAGAGTGCTCATGCGGAGGTGCTGCCCTTGCAGCTCCTCTCCTCCCCGTCTGCGTCTGGGTCCTGCACAGTGGCGTTGGTCTGGACCAGCCACGAGTGGGGTGCAGACATCAGGCACACAGACCCTCTCCCAGGCCCCCTTTGCCACCTCCAGCTCTTACTCTGCACTCTGATGGCCACTAAAAAACACAAATCTCCAAATAACTTTGCATCCAGTTTATCTTGAGCCCTCACTCCTGTGTGGGTCACTAACAGTGTTTGCAAGAGAGTCCTCAGCACTGTGGACGTGAGTAGGTCAGGAGATTGGGGGAATGGGCTTCTTAAAGGCCAGCTCTTGCACCGTCTTACCCCCCGGACACCCTAAATACTGCTTGAATGCTCTCTGCAGAGCTCAGCTTAGAAACGTGCCATCACAACTTCAGTGACATTCAACTAAAGGCAACGTCTTGATGAGGCTGGTGTGCTCCAGGGAAAGGAACAAAACAGGAGGTATGAACAAGAGGAAAAGGAAAAGGGAGAGAAGACACTGGAGAGAAATAGGCCAAAGGGAGAGGCAGGGCAGACAGGGGTAGAAAGCCTGGGCCACATGCAGAACATCAAGTGGTTTCAACAGCTCAGGCCAGGGCTCCACCTTCTCCATTCATTCCAGAAAAATTAGCCTGGAGCAAAGGGGGGAGGGGAGGAGTAGGGAGCACAGTGTTTGGTAACAAAAATAGAAAGGGTTGGATTTGAGAAAATAGGAAATTAAGCGATGTCATTCTAATCAGCATGAAGTGACCAGGGCAAGACAGGAGGCACCTAGGGACCCTATGAGGCACCAACTATGTAGCCAAGTGTTTCTAACAGAGGATCCAGAGCCTGGCTGCCCAACACCCACTCTGGCCTGCGCCTGCCCTATGTCTGCAGCAGCACCTCCGGCTCTGACAATGAGCAATAGAGGGTGTATCCCAATTCATCTATTTCTTCAGGGGTCAGCTCTGCAAATAAGTTCACCTTGGGGTTCAGAGCACTGGGCAGGACTCCAGCCTCCAGGTACCTGATGAGTCCCCTCAAGGCCTGCAGGAATCGATCGGCCAGCATATCGGGGGACCAGTCAGCCTCCTCCTGGGCCAAGTGGAGGATGACATTCGTGAGCTGGCTGGCAGTGAGGTGGCCCAGAGCCGGAGTGGACTTGCATATGGCCTTAAGGATCTTGAGGCACAGAGATCGGCAGCCTGAATCAGCCTGGTCCAAAGCCCGCAGGCGTGCCGTCTCAGCCGGACGCAGGCTCAGCCGCCACAGGTTGTCATACTGGGCTAGCCGGTGGGGTCTGGCCACCAAGACAGTGTCACCAAGGGTCACCGATGGCAGGAAGTCAATGACAAGATGTTTGTCATGCTCATACTGCACTTCCAGAGTCAGGGCTTCTGGGGGTGGGGCTGGTCGGATCACATAGTCCAAGAGGGACCCTATGGCCGGCCAGTTGATGGAGCCGGCTACAACCTTCTCAAATGTGTCTGCCACTGTCTTTGGGGAGAGGTAGCCCCCTACTACGCAGCGGTCCCAGTAACTACTACCACGAGGAAAGTATTCTGGGTTCTCACGACGAACCAGGAAGAAGCCAGGGACATTCATGATGGTGTCCTCGCCAGGGATGCACGACCACAGGTTCTGCTCCAGCACAAGGGGCACAATGAGTTGGATGTGGTCTGCTGTCACCACCTGTTGGAGAAGAATTAAAAAGGTTGTGAGGGATTCAATCTGCTCAAGAGAGCGGCCCCCCCAAACACAGGTCTCTCCATCTTGTATTCCCCCAACATTAAAGGAAACCAGGGATTCTTTCCTGTCAGCCTTTCAACTCAGACAGAGATAGTGAGGATTTAAAACCATCAGACACCAGAGCGCATGCTCCTTCCACATCATCTTGGGGCAGAGAAGCTCACAGGACACCCTCAGGCCTTGAAGACCCAATAAGAGAGAAAACTAGAAAGGAGAGACAGAGACAGGAATACAGAACGGAGGAGGCCTCTTACGGTTTCCTAAAAGTTGTGAGTATGACCAAAAAAATAAGAAAGGGTTCAAGAAGAGCTTGATAAATTCCATTAAAAAATAAATAGCCCTGACTGCTGTGGCTCAGTGGACTGAGTGCCAGCCTGCTAACCAAAGGGTCACGGGTTGGATTCCCAGTTGGGGCACATGCCTGGCTTGCAGGCTAGGTCCCCAGTAGAGGGTGCACGAAAGGCAACCACACACATGTTTTTCTCTTTCTCCCTCCCTTCCCCTCTCTATAATAAATAAATCTTTAAAAAAAAAACCCAAAAAACTAAATAAATGAGATCTGTAGCTAAAAAAGCAAAAATAAAGACCCCCAGCTATGATCTTCAAATGGTCCCAGTAAGCAGCATTCAGAAGCAGTAAGACTTCAGTCTCTCTGGCAAGCCTGGGACACTGACCTTTTAAACCAATAACACTACCTATAAGCATGATGGTGGGGACCCAACCCTATCCTTCCTGACAACCGCCTTGTTACCTGCAGGTCATCATAGAGGCTGCCACTCAGGTACATGTCCCGAAGTGGCATGTCAGGAAGCTTGGCCCGCAGAAAGCCCCGGAGCTCGGCACATATGTCCACGGCAGCTTGCTTGGCCCGAGCCTGCTCACCGGCAGGGATGGCGGCCCGGTTCCGGTAGTAAGTGAGAAGTTTCTCCTGCAGGGACATGCGGAGGCGTGACTTCTTCAAGTCTACCTGGCCCTTCCTGGCCAATGGCTTGGGCCGGGGTGGGCAGAATGTGTCTGCCAAGGGAAGAAAGAAAAGCACGTCAGCTCTATCCAGGCTTGCTCAGTCCATGGCTGCCTCAACCCCAGAAGAAGGGCTTGGCACAAAAGGCAAATGCTGGCACAGTGCCTGGCACATAGGTGCTCAAGAAATGTTTGCTGAAGGGAGGAGCAGTACTGAGAGCCCACAGATGTGTCCCAGAAGGGACAACAGGCTTTCTCACCAGTGTCAAAGGCTGAGGAGTCTGTGGGCAGGGTCTGCAGGGAACGGCTCAGGCCTGTCTTCATGTCCTTGTTCAGCAACCGGGGGGAGCCCATCCAGTTTGGTTCTTCCCAGCTTCTCTTCCCTAAATGACTCAGGCGGGTGGGGCTGGTAGGGGCACTGATTGCCCGATCGTACATCTGAAATAGCAGAGAGGACCCCACACATGGACCTTCCTTCCTGTTTGCCTCCTTCCCTTCCCCCTACTGAGTTCTAAACTACTATTTTTCAATACCTTTGTTTTATTCTAGGTTACAGAATACTTTTCTCCATGTAGGAAATTTCAGGAAAGACTAAATAATATAAGAAACAGATTTATTCATAATGTCACAACCCAGAGATAAATGTTAATATTCTCACACACGACTTTCTTCAGATTGAGACTGATGCGCTGCCTACTGCGTTATAAGAGGGCATGTTCATACGTCTTTCTGGAAAAAATATATTTATGGAATGAATATGCTACTCTAAATATACTTTTGAAATCTTATTTTTTTCACTTACGATTTTTATCATTTCCCTGCATCACTAAAAATGCTTTGGTGTTCAACATTATGGTACATTTTCTGACATGAATGTAATGGTGAACACAGGTTAATTTATTTAACAAATGCTTACTAAGTAGCTACTGTGGGCCAAGCACTGTTGTAGGTACATAGAGTGAGCACTAAACAGAGATCTCCCTGCCCTCATGGAGCTTTCAGTCTAGTAGGGGGACGCAGGCAGGACATAAACAAGTACAAAGTCTGCATAGAGAAAGAAACATTGAGAAACATACAGTAGGAAAGGGCAATAGGAAGCGTATTATGTGGTGGGGGTGTTGCCATTTAAAATAAGGTAGTCGAGGAAGGATATTTTGGTTATTTACAATTTTTTTACTCGCTGGGATAAACTTCTTTATTTGTATCTCCAATGATTTCTTCAGGGCAGAGACCCAGCAGCAGACCTCACTGAATTCTCTTAAGGTCTCATTTAATGGTGCCAAATGCGCAAGTCTTGTCCAGGTGAGCTCTACTCTGCAGGGGCGGCCTCCCACCTCCCCCACCCCAGGCCCAGGCTGCAGGCACTTACCCGCTTGACCGCCAGTGTGGCAATGCCCAGCATGGCTGCTCCACCCACCCCCAGCACCAGCCGGGCATTGGAGAGCACAAAATCAATGGCTGTGCCGATGCCATTGTCATCCTTCTTGCTTTTGCGCTCACCAGCGCCTGCCATTGCTCACCTGAAAATGAAGGCAGAACACAGCCATCACCACCTGGGACCTCAAGACCTGTCCCTACGGCTTCCCGCACCAGGCCAGTCCCCAGGCAGCTTAGCAAATCCTGCTGCCTCTAACACTGCATGCTCTAGGGTCAAGAGGGAGTTACCATGTCCCACGATGTGTCTGCATGTAAGAGGGGAACCGATCATACTTACTGTGGGAAAACCTCTCCACTAACCTCCAGAGATTACAGACAGCATTACACTTATCTCAGTCCTGTCCTACATTAGAGTAAAGAACCCCGCCATGCAATATGACCCTCTCCCTACCCCTGCCCAATGTTATAATGCGGACTGTGTTTTGATCCTTTGGCCACTGCTTCATGGAAGGTTGGATCTGAGGTCTAATCTCAAAGATTAGAGGCGGCCCCATTGCATCACTTCATCTTATCCCATCTTATTCCCATTCATCTTATCCCATTCATCACTTCACACGTGGGGTGGTGGCTTGCTACAAGTCCCAGAGAAAGGAAATGGTAGAGCCACGTCCAGAACTCCGGATTCCCCACTCCTACTGCAATACTTTTTCTACTTATCATATTTACCCTTATCCAAATCAAACTCTTCCTATTCTATTTACCATCTATAAAACAAAAGCAAAAAACCCACAAAATAACACAGACCGAACACCCTGCACGCACATAAGTGACTACAAGTCCATATGCAAGCAAGGCCCAAAGAAGAAAATAACCCCCTGTGGACACTTCCACTTGACAGATGCTGTTTCTTGGGGCAGATGTGCAGGGTGACTACACCAAGCTCAGGTGAGGCTGGCTCCATGAGAATGAGAATAAACACAAAGGATACTGTAAGCCTGGCTATTAACTGAAAAGCAAAGAAACGAAAAACCGGCCTGCTCACATGCACTTGGAAAATGAACTAAAAATGTGGACACCCAGAAGGAGTTCTTGGGCGCAGACAGAAGAGACTGGCCTCCCGTACCCAGCTCAAGCAAAGCAAGCACATACCTGCTCCCTGGCAATAACGGAGCCATCCTGATTGAAATTACCCCAGTCCCGAATAAGCCCATTTCCCGCGGGGTTAGAACCCTGGGCCCAACCCAGATAAAGGATGGCAAGTGTTTCAGATCTGAATACTCCTCTCAACACTGCTGCTCTCTTCTGTCTCCTGTGTCCCATATGCCAGGGTTACACAGGAAAAAAACAGCTGTATACCAGTCACGGTCCGAATATATCCAGAATGGGAGGCTAGAGAGAGGCAAGGCCCTGGTGCACCTTCCAGTGTAAACATTCCTTCTAATACCATGTTACAACTGGCATTGCTAGTTTCACAGCTCACACTTTGCCTATACCTCTGCATGCACCCCACCCCCAGCTCCTCCAGCCCCTGAAAAGGAAAAGAAACATTTCTGGCTCTATGTATTCCAGCAAGAGTTAACTAGGAGTCACTGTCAAGTCCAAAAATATTTTTGCCCTAACTAGAGTTCACAACCTTGGTGGCACTTTTCTTTTCTCCATCTTTTACAGTCAATAGAAGCTTCATGTTGGGGACACATAAAACCACTTGGCCAAAGAAATATATTCCCAATTCAAGCACACAGAGCAAGCGAGGCCAAGGAGAAGAGTTCAACTTTGCATTTACAGACAAGGGTCAGGCAAGAATGCCAATCATCCTCTTTCCAGTGGCACTGAGACAGAGATGGGACACATCAAACTCAGCTGAGGCCAGGACCACAGTTCCCACACATAACAGTGACCACTGTTTTATTTTAAAAAAAAAACAAAAAAACATTTACTGATCTATTTACAACAGGGAGAGCCACTGGATAAAGGCGCCGCCTAAGTGGTCATTGGATGCGATGCCACAGCCCAGAAAGTGACTCCTGAGCAGAAGCCAGAACACGCCTCCCTGGGCCGTTTCGCCCTTGGCCTATGAGATGTGACTGGTAAGAGCAAGGCAGTGATGGGGCAGAAGAGAAAAGCGCCTGGGTTTTCCAGTCCGAAATCCAGAGATTGAGTACTTGCTTTTGAGCCCTAATTAGCTGGGGGACCTCAAAGGTCTTACTTAACCCCTCCGCTGTGAAAAGGGGATAATGGTGCCTGTGTGGCCTACATCATAGGGGTGTCCCAAGGGAAAAACATCCACTAAAATACTGCCCGTGAACACTTTATAAACTGTAAAAGTACTCCGAAAACTTGGGTTTATGATTAAGTCTTTTACGATTTCTACCCACAGGACCAAAGGTCAGCTTCCAGAAGGCAGTCAGTTGTATCTGACCTTCTGCAACAGAGCTAAGGATGGCCTCTGAAACTCATACTGACGCTATCCTGGGCTTGACACCAAAACTGTTTAATTGAGCAGCCTTTGCTACTCTAGTGCGGTAGATTCGTCCCATCCGACGACCTGGTGGCCTGGAGGAGAGTATCCACAAGCTCCAACAGGGAGATATAAGCTCTTCTTTTAAAACTTAACTTGTTCCAATTGAAAGTGCTCACCCACTGTACGTCCTCCACTCAGGTTCTGCTGCCCCAGCCGGGAGGCTCCTAGGGCACACGACCTCCGCCTGGCAAGGGGAGCAGGGCCTGGCTCCTCAATGCGGCCAGGAAGGAGCGCTGTTGTTTAATGGGTACAGGGTTTCAGTTGTGCAAGATAACGTTCTGGAGATGTCGCACAACAATGTGAATATTCTTGTTTGTTGTTGTTTTGCCATTTTTAAAATACAACATTTATTGCTTCGATGATTTGCTACAGAACAGCTCTTCTTCTCATTTTGAATCTGGAAGTACTACACAACTGAATACCAAGAGGAACAAAGAGTACCGAAACCCAATTTGTGATTCTGTTCATGTGGCATCAACAATGTGAATATTCTTAATGCTAATGAACAGTACACTAAAAAATGGTTAAAATATTTAAAAGAAAGAACACTGACCTGGTGGGCGGGGCAGGGGATGGAGAATCTGTATCTGAGCACTGCCAACATTTCAGGAAGCTACTTAATAGGTCTCCCTAGATACAGAAATGGGAATAGAAATAGTCACCACCCCAGGATGGTGGAGGCGATGAGTAATGGAGGCCCTGCAGCTTCCTAGGGTGACCACACAGAGCTATGATAAGGCCAACTTATTTTACTTGAAAAAGTCCTATGACTTAAACCCGTCTGGTCTGAGTACACATGAGGTTAGCTAACATATACTGAATGTGTACCATGTGCCGGACATTTTACACATAGGAATTTCTTTGCTTTTCACAATAATCCCATGAGGTCAGTCATACTGTTATCTCCAATTCTCAGAGGAAGAAACTGAGGCAAAGGTTAAGAAACTAGCCCAGGGTCGACGAGTAAGTTATGCCAGGATCTGAACCTAGAGGCCATGCTGCTGGGGAGCAGTACTTCACAGGGGCCTCCGGCAGCTTGCTCGCATTTCCTCTACTGACCACTAGGCCACAAGCTTCTTGGGGCATTTTGGCCCATTCACTACTAGCACCCAGGGCCAGCAGTGTTTGACGTGTAGTATTTGTTGCATAAATGAACTATTAACCCTGGGGCTTTTTTACTTTTTTTTTTGGAGGGGGCGATTGCAATCTGTAACCCAACTCACAGTGGAAACAGATTAGGAGCAGAGAGACTCAGTAACTCACTGTTTCCTTCCAGATGGGCAGGCCCCCATGGGTGTCCACCCATCTCAGCCCTATACTGCCAAAGGCGGGCTGCCAATCAACTTACGTGGCCTGAGCAGAAACAAAGTCATTACGTAAGGCTCCTCCTCCTGCTTTCTGTCTCTAAATTGAAAACAGTGCCCTCCACCCAGTTGGCAACCCTCAGTTAGCCGTCACTCTTCTCTTTCTCCTGCCTCAGCCAGCTGGTCACCAAGCTCCACTGCTGTACACGTTTGTCCTTACGGGTGGCCGCCCCACCACCTCAGTCTCATCTGGCCAGATTCACTGCCTACAGTACCTCTCACCAACTTATTCTCCAGGCTGCCAATGCCATGATCCCTTCCCCACGACATTCCGACATTCCGCCGCTTGAAAGCTGTGATGGTCCCCTTACTATCAGATGTCACAATCTCCTCAACAGAGGATTCAGTGTCCTTCCGGAACCGGGCCCAGCCTCAACTCCAGCCACTTGCCTTGCAGGTGCACCACTCTAGCCATGCCAGACTCAGGTTTCCAGACGGCGAAGTGCACTTTCCACCTCCACCTTTGCTTATTCTTGCCCATCTACTCAGCGACCTTCTATTTCTCATTTGAGGCAGACCTCGAATGTCCTCTTTTCAACAGCTACCTGTGATTCCTCCTACCACCTCCTACCCAAGGCAGTTATGTTTTTATCCCTTCTGTAAGCTTTGCACCTAACCCTCTAATACATAGCTGCTCACGCTGGAATTACTTCCTGCTGAT